CTTTTTGTATATGTATGAAAATAAGGCCCTCATAACTCAAATATACACATATATATATATATATATATATATATATATATTTCCCATGACCTTAACGATATGAGAATCCGAACCAGAATGGTGGACGTAAATTAAAACTAAGATAAATGCTAAATGCATTGACAAGTAATACGAGTTCAAATTATAATACATTTGCTGCTAGATTTTAAAGATCTAAACACAATCTATACAAGATCAAAAAACAATAATCTAGCTATAAATATGAAAATACCATAAAACTTATTTGAGATTTAGGCATACATTAGGAAGATTACCTATTCCGGTAGACAGCGAAAGGCGTCGTCCACGGTCGTCGGAATCCGCCAATGGGCGGCTAGAATCAATGGAGAACTTGGAAACATGATGAAGAATGGCAAGAGGTGCCTTGAGCTCCTCCCTATCTCTCCCTCTCTCCATCGTTCGGCCACACCCCAAAAGCCCCCACAAGCACACCAAAAACAAAAGAAAGGGTGCTGCCTTTCTTAAACCAAACCAATTGGGCACTAAGGACTTTTAACCAATATTCATTGGAGAGGATATATGGTCCAATGGGCTGACTAAATATTATGAGATAGAAGGAGTTCATATGCCTCAAGCGAGTTAATAAAACATGTGTCCATCCCATTATGGACCGATATTTAACATACATGCATGTGTTAATTCACATTAACACAGTTGTCCATAAGATGCTTTAATTAATTACAGAGTTAATTATTATGATTATAGAAGTCCACATAAAAATATTTCAACAATCTCCCACTTGGACGACATAATCATACAACAAACATTCACTCATCACAGTATAAGCATCAACTAAGAATCTCACATAATAAACACAAACCCAAAACAATCATATATAATAACGGATCAACAAGATACAATCATTATACATAATCAGGCATTAGAGATTCATCCAAGCATGATGACAACTTTAATATATGGATCAAAAACAATGATAGAGACTAACAACCAGATGTCTCTTTTCAACTTGTCACTTTGCCAACTAAAAAATGTGTCAACACAACATCACACATAAAGTGACAGATCCATGAATATGCATGTATTATTTGAGGCATAAGCAATCCTTATCAATAACAACATGTCACACATAAATGGCACATAAAGGAAGGGGTGCTAATGGAGATTCCTGCTCTGGATCCATGCGGCTTGCTTGGAATGCGCGGACATCTCCCCCTGACTTAGTGTCACTACCGGGTATTTTCTTCCAATTTGTTGGTTTCCCGTGTAGTTTCCAACAATTCTCCCGAGTATGCCACGCCTTCCTACAATGGTTACACCAAGGCATCTGCTTACCTCCACGCCTGTCTCCTTCCGAATCTGTGCCTCGAACCACAAGGGCAAATCCCTCGCCATCTATTTTTGGTTCGTCGATGTTCTTCAACATCACTTGCCGCCGTGCTTCTTCTCTACGCACTTCTGCAAACACTTCTCTTATCGTTGGCAAGGGTCTTTTCCCTAATATACGTCCTCAAACCTCATCAAGTTCTTTATTCAAATCAGCCAAGAACACAAATACCCGGCCTCTCTCAATCTTCTTTTTGTACCGAGCACTGTCATTCGAATTTTCCCATTGTTCATCTTCAAACATATCCAATTCCTGCCAAACTGTCATCATATCATTATAGTAGGCTGTTACCTCACAGTCACCTTGCTGCATCTTCCACATTCGAGTGTTTAATTCGAACAATTCTGAGTGGTTGTCCAAATCGGAATAAGTTTCCCGGACTGCCTCCCAGACATCACGAGTTGTCGGCAAGAACATGAAGGGCTTTCCAACAACGGGGTCCATCGAGTTGATTAGCCAGTCAGTCACCAAGGAATTTTCTGAACGCCACTGTCTGTATTTTGGATCATTGGTGGCTGGCGGTTTTACTTCGCCATTCAGGTGCCCGAGTTTCCCTTTGCCGTCGATCACCAGACGTACAAATTGAGACCACTCAAGGTAATTCTTTCCATTCAATTTTTGAATGGTGATTTGAAGGGAATGGTCAGAGAAAGAAACAGCAGGAAAAGGTAATTCTTTCCATTCAATTTGTGAATGGTGATTTGAGGGAATGGTCAGAGAAAGAAACAGCCGGAATTGGTTGTGAAACTGCCTCTGATGAAGTCGTACCACTAGTGGCATTTGAAGTGGCTGAACCAGAGCCAACCATGGTGGCTTTAAAATTCATAATCGAGCCCTAGGCTCTGATACCATATAGAAAATCACAGAGGCAGGAAAGAGAGAATTACTCTCTGATTCATCTTATTCATTCCAGAGAAAATAACACACATTTAAATAGAAAAAAAGAGCATACACGGCTAACTCTAGGATCCCTTATAATCAGGAATTTTATTCTATTACTTGTTTTTCCTAAATCATTCAAAAATCAAATCCTAACCTAACATTCCTGATTTACCAACAGTTGCAAACGACATGTCGTGCCCGTTTGTTTTCATTTTCGTTTTCGTTTTTTTACATTTTCCGAGGAGGAAAAATTGAAACGGAGAAGGAAAATGCGTTTGGGAAGGATCCGTACCAAAACCAAAAACAAAAACGTTTTTGAATTTTTCCCAAAAACTCACTTTTTTCTGAAAATGGATTAAATCCGTTTTCATTTTCCTTTTCATTTTCTCCTTTCGTTCTCCCCCCCACTCTTCTCCGACTGCCCACCACCACCACCCCCGCCTCGACCTCGCTACCCCCTCTTCTCCAGAGATTCCTCTTGCTTTGCCGAGAGGACATAAATGGGTGTGTTTAATATATTAAACACACCCATTTAAACATTTTATTTAATATATTTAATATTATTATTTATTTAATATATTTTAATTTAAATATTATTACATGTTTTTAAAATTAAACCACCAAACACAATTTCAATTTTTTTTTAAACCGAAATCAATATCGGAATAAAACTATCAAACGCATTTTCAGAAATGATTCCAAAATGAAAATGAAGACGTTTTCATTTTCATTTTTATACAAAAAATAAAATCATTTTGGAACGAGTTCCAAACGCACCCATAGTCATTATTGATTCTAAATTTATATAAGAAACTACTCAAACTCCATATCTTGATACCCAATATTGTACAAAATTTGAAGGTATTACACATACTTTGGAATGCCCTAGAAGCTCCTTTTGCTATCGATATTTTTTTTTTTATCTTGGATGAAATTATGGATAAATGTACTTATATAACATTACATTTCAATATGATTAATTTTCAATTGTTTTATTCTATTTATAAATGCACACTTATCATTTATTGTTCTTTGATGACTTCTTATCATTTATATTTACAATATATTTAGCATTTTGATTGATAACTTCATCTAATTTAGGTACTATTAGTTACTTTGAAGTTTTAAAAAGTTTTATTACATATAGCATATAGAGGTTGTGAAAGCATCTTCAATACCGTGCCAAATTAGCATGCCAATGCTAAGTTTGATATTTGATAAGGAAAATCACTAATGCGATTCTTGCCACTAAATTTGTTTATGTTCTACTTGTGAAAAATTTAGCACCATAATATATATTAGTATATGCTAAATTTTGGCATTCGGTTGTTATTGATTGATGTATTTACTATTAGATTTAATCAAGGGATAAGAAGACAATACCTTTTAGAGTGCATGAGTTTAGATTTTTACTTTAGTTAAAAAGGTATTAATGAAAAGTAAAAAGTACAAATTAAGACTCATGCACTTTTAATGGTAAGTTCAGTAATTCTCTATTTAATCAATCACATCATTAGTATTTTTGAATTATATAGATTAAAAGTTTACTTTTAATTACAACTTAGAAAGCTTAATGATTTGGCAAAATATATATATATATAGATTCAACATTTAAAATCTTATTTAGTATTAGAACACAAATCACAATAACATATGAAATATGCTATTTTTACACCTGTTAGTGGCAAATTTATATGTACTAGCATTAACATTTGTTAACAAATGTCATGCGTATTCTTTACGATCTTATTTTGTAAACTATACGATATTATTTTGTAAAAGTATAACAACAATAAATTTATTTATCGTAAACTAATGTACATTTTTAAAAAAATTATTATCACATAAATATATACACTTTTCTTACTGCATGTTAATTATTATAGGGCTAGACTTATCCTAGATTAATTTATCTGTATTATTATTTTGTTAATATATAATAATTTAATGAATTTTCATGTGTCCAACCAGTTTAACATGGTTGGTAGGGTGATTTCCCCGTATTACAACCATCGTTTTCAATAACAGATCTGGTTACACTATGTCAAACTAAAAAAGTATATAAAATTAACAAAATTTAGAACAAAATAGAGTCCTGTCCTAGGTTATTTTTGGGTAGCCTACAGTAAATTTTTTTTTTTTTTTTAAGTATATAGCTTTTTTTTTTGGTTTCCCACAGTACTGCTTGCATAAAGTAAGGACATGCACATAACATCCAACGAAAAGAAACATACCCCTCTTAAGTATATAGCTTTTTTTTTTTTTTTTTTTGGTTCCCCGCAGTACTGCTTGCATAAAGTAAGGACATGCACATTACATCACCCCCATTTCCTTCCGTGCATATAATATAGACAAAACAAACCGGATATCAACATGCATGTGAAAGTAGTCTTTATTTAATAAAACAACCATAAGCATTTATCTTTTTTTTTTTTTGGGACAATATAAGCTTTTATTACATACCATGTCGTGATCATTTCTAACGAGTATGGCAACGAAGAGAGTTATAGTAGAGATTTCCATACACTGTAAGCTAAATAGGCTATATATGTGTATATATAAATACTTAAAGACCAATTTAATTCATGCGTATAAATTAGTGATTCTTAATTTTAACATGTAAAATTTAAATTTTTTGTGAAAGAAAAACACTTTAACAGAATCAAAACTATAAATTTAAAAGCATAAAACAAAAGTTCCCTTAATTTGCTTAGGGTTTTGGTTTGTTTACAAGTTACGTCTTGTTTTTATTGATGATCAGTGATCATCAGACAGAAAAATAGTACGCTCAGGAGCTTATTTAAAGCTAAGCTAGCTAGCTAAGCAAAGCCATGATCTTGTGTTGTGTATTTCTAAATCTGCTTCCCCTAATTCAAAGAGCAAGGATTCGCTGATCTGGTTTATAATCAGTTCTAGTGTGTGTGTGTCTATATATATATATATATCTTTGAAGAAAGAAGGGAAGTATCTAAGGGGATAGGGACGTGACAGAAAGGCTTGGATTTGACATGTCGTTTTCCCTGGAGACGAGAGAAACAGAGGACTCTTGACAAACAGAAAGTGCATGGTACGATCATTTAACTTATAAGAAGGTCGATGCAATGTAAAAGAAAAATTAAAGTCTTTACAGAGGCACGTTTAGAATAGAAGAGAGATGCATCTTTTCAAGAGCCTAAAAATAACACAAAACACAGAGGGCCTGTTTGTTTTTATTTTCGTTTTTATTTTTCACGTTTTTTGAAGTTAAAAAATGAAAATGCCATCTAAAAACGTGTTTGGCACAAAATTTTTCAAAAAACAAAAACAAAAACGTTTTTGTTTTTTTGTGAAAAACTGAAAACAAAAAAAAGTCGTTTTCTCGTTTTCGTTTTCTCTTCTGAAAACGGTTTTCAATTTTTTTTTTCTTCTCTCTTCTCTTCTCCGCTGCCCACCACCCCTGACAGCACCCCCCTCTCCCACTCCGACATCAACACCAACTGAAGGAGATGAAGGACGACAGAGAGAGACGTCGCCGGAGATTCCCTCGCTCGATGGCTATCGTCAGTCGTCGGACAACGCCGCCGGCACTACACCCACGTGAACACCACC